CTACCGGCGGCTTCAATGATTCTTACCCCGTTCGGGCCCCATGTGCCGTCTAAAATAGTTACAAGCGGCCACGATTATTCACTCGACAGTTCGCACACACACATACATCCGCGAATACAAACAGAAATCCTATCCCAAAAATATTTCTATTTGTAAAAGGGGACAATTTATTCTACTTGTCACATTACCATTGGTAAAAATACAGATTTCGTCAAGGTTATCTAAGATCAACTTGATACACTGTATTAAATACGAAAAGTCACACACAGATTTAAATAAAAAACACAGAACCATAAATATCACATTTTTTTCAAGGCCACCAAGAATACAAAGTAAAATACACAATGATCCCGCACCTCGTTTATATTGTAAACAATATGTTAGAAATTCTATATAAAACTTGACTGCGATTTCTCGAGGTTATGGGGTAAGTGCTGAACGGCCAAACACAGTCCGCTTACCAAAACACATCGCTGCCTTCCCCACTCCGTGGCCAGATCTTTTATTTCAAATATTTTATCGCACGTGCATTAGCGACCGGCAACAGGGTGTCGAGCCCTTTGTCGACACGCAACACCCGGACGTCGAGGCCGCGAGGAATTAACAAAGTAGCGCCCTGCTCGAGCCGCCACTGAACCTAAACATCGATGACATATCCAACTATCGGCGATACAATCTCTTCTCAAGAAGCCGACGCCACGTGCATCTCCTTTCATAAAAGAATCGACGCTAACAAATATGTCTACAGCACCGAAAATTCTCTGAATAATTCACTTTCACATAATCAACATAAAGAACTATGGTATAACTAAGAAGAATATATACTCTCATTAGGAGTTTCCCCGATTCACCAGAGTGTGACCTTGAAACAAAATTCCGCCGTGTACCAATAACTTTGAGCGTTACGATTTTCTGGCCGTAAAGTTACCGACATAACCTCTGATACTATATTCAATTAAATTTACGCAAAGGACAAAAGATCCTTTCATCTCTACAGGGTTAAAAACGAAGAGAATATCTCTGCACCGCCGCGCTACAATGAAGGCGTAACACACACAAGAAAGCCGTTATTTTCCCATCGGCGAGAATTTTCAAACGACAATTGAGCCGGAGTAGTGTACCCGCTCTCGTTAATATCCAACGTCGGGAGAGTGAGTGAGTGAGCGAGCGAGCGAAAAGAGGGGAGGGGGCACTTCTGGGCGCGTCGTGCATACAGGGTGGGCCGGAAATCGTAGTACAACCAGGCAGAGGGTGAATCTACGTTAAAAAAGAAGAAAATATTTTGGTATAACATTTTCTCATCTGGGACTCCGTTTTCGAGAAAATCTATTTTAAAATTTGTTCAACTTGTAAACGATTTAGTACAATTTGCTTGTCGTGTATTAGTAGTAAAAAAGAATAAAAAATGAGTAATCAGTAGAATCACTTTGTATTGTTTTATCCACACAATCATCAATGTTTGTAACCACTGTCGTGGACAGAGACAACCGCAGTAGTGGAATACACGACAAGCAAATTGTACTACATCGTTTACAAGTTGAACAAATTTTAAAGTCGATTTTCTCGAAAAGGGAGCCTCTGATGAGAAAATGTTACACCAAAATATTTTCTTCTTTTTTAACATGGAATCACCCCCTGCCCGGTTGTACTACGATTTCCAGGCCACCCTGTATATGGAAGCAGGGGGTGCCGGGCCGTGTAACGAACGTCTCTCACTGTAGAGTCGCGGCAGGCAGACAAATTCACTCGAGCCCAGCAGCAGCAGGCAAGCAGAGCAGTGGCAGCGTGATATCTTTCTATGGGGGGCTATTTTCTCATCAATCCCAATCGCTTTTATGAAACGTGACTCACGCGTGAAAAGGTCCGCATGCCTTTGGCGAATTCGATGCCCCCCCCCCCACCATATATACGCGCACGTCGAAACGCGCCCCGTTCCCTTTTCTTTTCGGTGGGTATCCCTTCTCTGTCTCGCTCGCACGATCCCCGACGGTGGTCACTTCATTCTAAGAAAAAAAGGATTCTACTCTGGGGCTAGACGCGCACGCGCGGGAAGACACTATTTCTCCGACGTAGAAAAGTTTATATACCTAGAACTGTTGTGTGTGTTATGTTTTTATTCTTAGAGTTCTACGTCGTAGAATGCTAAGCATTTCCATGTGTAGATGCAGGGAAGGGGAAAAGAATGATTTTCCATAGTGAAGTTTTAAGAGTTTTTGCCCGTCAACTCGACGGTGAAACTAACCTACGATACGATGGACTTGGGTTCGCGCGACAATATAAAGCTGCGTCTACACTATATAGCATAACACGTTATATAGCAAAGTTATAAAACTTTTTAGAGAAATTGAAAGAACAATGATGTTACAATCTTGTAACAAGTTATAAAAATATATTGTATAGTAAAGTTATATTATAATTTCTTATATGGACATTGTTTTGGTATATAGTGTAGTCACAGCTTAACGCACAAACCTCAATCCGTTATTCTGTACTCCCTGATGCTTCATTATACCTAAGAATATTGGAATTTTATTTGTGCAGGACATCTGATATATTCTGCGTTGAATAGAGAAAATGATAAAATGTGGAAACTATATACTGCAATGTGTATTGTATGACAGTGACTTACATCGAACTAGTACTGATTCTGTTGGATAATCGAGGTTCGATTGAATCACAATTTAAAACCTGACTGAATTCAAATTAATTTGTATAAGACTATAATAAGTGAAATTGAAAAAATTCGTATACACATTTCAGAATAGCCGAGTATTGAACCAATGTTAGAGTACATTAAATATTCAATTTTCAAACAATTCTATCATAGAACGTATATTCTTGAGAAGTTTCGTATTCTGAAAATTATTTTGAAGTAATTAAGTTCACGGAGACTGACAAGTAGCGAGAGATGCGGAGAGACATTCACGAAACCATATGTCGAACACATCCTTTTTTGCGTCTCATGACGAATTGTCGAAAATAGAGAGAGTCCCTGCGCAAACGGCGCGAAATACGGATTTCACGAATATATGATATGCTTTCTAAAAACAAAAACTTCGCGAACTCGGCCTGACGATTTATGACCGCAATACCGGTAAAGCGTATCAAAAACAACGTCGTTTCTTCCTTTAATATTAATAAATAGAACGCAGCATTTGCTATCGCGGAGATTGCTAGGTGTAAAAAAAAAAGAACAACAGCTACGCGTTCGTTATCGTCGAGGAATGTTTACCACGATCTTCAACTTTCGTGAATTTTCTGCCACCTTCGACATACAATTGCCGCAAAAAATATTTTGAAAATCGAAGCAAGAAACACCTTGGATAACCTTAGAATGTTGTCGCTAAAGAATAGCCTCTCCTAACACTGTTTAAAAGTCTATTTTTGTTTAGAATTGATAGCACTATTACAACGAATAAAAAAATATAATTTAATCTTAATCATAGCCATCGCCATGAATTACGACGCAGGACATAGTGGGGAACATACTACACGAAATAAAGCACTAATATCGTTGAAGGTACATGCATTAACGGCATGGCTGTCTACCTAATAATCCTTTTTCCCACGTCGGAATTAATGGACAGCACACGTAGAGCCATCAGACGCGGTTTGTCGTAGCCCAGGAACTTCCGATGTAATATATATATAATACGTGTTATATAGGCTTATAGGAACACAATGGAGGTCCACGACGGACACAGAGACAGAAAAATATACGCACGGACGCTCAACAATAAGCGTAGTGCGCTGGACGGAGTTAAACAGCTTATCAAACTTCGTTTTGCGTATCTGCCAACGCATGCACGGACATTAAAGGAACGGCTAAGTATTCTATAAATGTAGCCGCCTATTTAACGCGCAGACCGCGTCCCATCCTGGCAAATACTTAACACTTTCCTCGTCGAACAATATCGAATAAAAACTTTCTCGATAATACGACGGTCGAAGTGTCACTTTCCAGCTCGAAATATTTATTTATTAAGAACACGAGTTGGAAGAACGATTATTAGACAAGATCGAAGTTAATGTTACTTGTAATACTGTAATTGAATAATGTAAGTATGTTTGAAAAAATATCAGAAAGTTCCGGACCATTCGAGAATCCAACACGAATCAATGCAAAAAAAATTTGCGGATAACTTTTAAACCTACACACGCGTGTAATTATTAAATGCTTTTATTAAAATGCCCCAACACAACCGTTATAAAGTTACTCATCCGTTCCGTAACGTAAGGATAAAATTCTAATTACGGGCGTCTCGGAACAGATACCACGCCTTAAATTTCAAAGATGCAGGCGTAGTTGTAACGGTCTGTTTGCTCGGGTCAGAAACACTCCGGCACGTATTTTCTATTTATTTTCATCGCGGCAATTCACCTTCGTCGAAACGAGTAACGGATAATCGAACCAGATTGAGTTACATCGACGAGCGTACCACGTTCGAAATCATATCGGTTCGACCGTGCAAGTCGATTATCAGGCTCTTCGGCAATAATTCACACGGACGAAAACTTGCGGTAGGCAACCAAAGTTTCAAATCTGTACATTGGTTATAGCATATTAATTCGATTTTACATTGACTCTGTATAAGTTTACCGATCAGTCAGTTATCAATAGACATAATAATCTCTTTCTCTATTAATATGCTGCAGACAATTTCGACATAATAAATTTCTGTACATGTCAAAACGCGAAGTCTCTATAACCGCTCTAGATACCCTATCCGTTAACATTGCGTCAATCTTAATTAACTCCTTCCGCTTTAGATTTCATCGGTACCGCGACAGAACCCGTCTACTGTAATTAATACAATTCCTAGGGATACCGAAAAAGCGAAACGAACGAAAATATGGCTGTCATTTCATTCAACGCCGGGTATGCACGACGGTAACGCAAGGGGGAGGGGTTTGAAAAACTGAACGTCACTTCGAAAAATCACACCGAAACTGATCGATTGATCTACAACCAAAAGAAAATAACGGAATACAAAACTTACCATGCCTTGACTCGAATCAGCAATTCTCCCTCGGCGGGGGTTGGCACAGGCTTCCTGAGGGCCTTGACACTTTTCAATCCGCCGAAACCGTTCAGTACTATAGCCCGCATGTCCTTCGGCTCTGGCGTGGGTTTCTCCTCGCCGTTCTCCTTCGGTTTCTCACCGTCGCCATTCTCTTCCACTTTCTTCGATTCCTCTTTGCTTTCTTTTGGTTCCTCCTTTTCTTGTTTCTCGGCCGGCGGCGCTTCCTGCGGTGGCTTTTCACCCTCGGCGCTCGGGCTGGTCTCGTTCTTGTCCTCTGCCATTTTTCTTCTTAGTCTTTCTCTCTTTCAAACTACGCTGCTGCTTTTGTTACTCGGAACGCTCTCCTCTAACCGTCGTCCTCGTCTCTGTGGTTACTTGTTAAATCTCCCGAAACGAACGCAGTCGATATATCTACTCTGATCGACGACCCGAAGGAGACTGAGAGACAGACAAGGGAAAAAAGGAAGGGAAAGCCTCGATGAGAGTCTACTCTACTTCGCGTTTCTAAACCGTAGCGCGTTCGCACCCGCCGAGAGCCAACGTCGTTCTGCACGATTTTCTGTCACAGTACCAGGGAATGCTTGGTGCCGGCTACGCCGGCCGGTGACGCGCGCGGTGTTGCCGTTGCTTAGCAACCGCGCGCCCCTTCCGACCGACCAATCGGGGCGCGGCTCTGTGTCCCACCGTTCGCCGGTCACGCTAAACTACATCGCGCATAGTACGACAGGTGCCGCGAGTCGCGGAACATTGCTCTTCGCGATTAAAAAGTAGTCCCCCCTCCCTTCTGTCCCTCCCATTAAATCTGTATTAATCCACGCATCTTTGACTATGATTTTTCAACGATCAATCAAAAAAATGTACTACTCGCCGATGGATAAAAATTACACAAACGTGGGCCCACAATTTCATGCCTTTGTACCTTTTTCTACTGTTTTTTTTGTTGCGGAATGATGATGGTTCGGACCCAGGTCGTAATTCGTATGAAATAAAACGGTTAGGTAATTTTATTTCGGTTAGATATAAAAATAATTGCAATATATTAGGAGCTAAAAGTTTCAGGTTGACCCAGGGTTCAAATTTTGTACGTAAATTTTGAAATAATAATTTTCTCTTGTGCGTAATACGCAGTTGCGAAGTATACTTTATTATTAATTCTATTATATCGTATCGTATTTATTCGAGTGAATCAATTTTGTAACCGCCAATTGTTGGTGTATACGATTTAACGTAACCGAATATGTATTGTATTTGGAGACCAAGGGTTAACTGAAAAATACCTAACCTGTACGGTCTCCTGCGCAATAATGTTTTTCTGACACGTTACTGATAAGGAACGTGAATAACATTTTGCATAGATATTTGTTACTGTCCATAAATTATGAAATTATACAACCAAACATTATAATGTAAATTTGTGTTCTCTGAATTGGTGACAGCTGACAGTTACACTGCGGGTGTTTATTCAAATTTATGTTTTTGTAGTCCAATGTAGGAAATCAAAACTGAAAAAGAAACTTTTATTATCTATCAAGTGTCTCGCGAAATTAAAAATACAAAGGGAAACTTTATTAAGTATTAAACATTCTTAAATGGACATGTTTACTTCTATTCCATACTGTCATTGTCAGAAATGCACAAAAACCACAGTTTAGCGATGATTTTCTTCGTATTAAATCAGTTTTTATTGTGGAAAAGTGGTATATAAACACAAAAGTAGTTAAAACGTTAGGAAAATGGCCATGAAAATGAATATGAAGTGAGACGTAGAAGCATGGAATCTGAAGGGGGCACGCCTTCGTATTATGAATCACTAGCGCGGGTGCATCGAAGAAAAGCAGTTCGCTTCTTTGCCGCAGATAGCTAATTGCGTCGTTGAAGAACAATGGAGAATGACCGATAGATCATAATCAAGCATTAACATATTTGAAAATAAAACTGCATTGTGTTAAGTATTCTATCGATTGAATTTAGATATCAGACAAACTTCGTTTTACGATAAACATAATTGAAATAATAATTGTGTCATAAATATAAAAATATTTCCAATGTTGTGAAAAAAGTACTGAACATTTTCGGTTCCACAATTTCATATTTTTAGTGGAACTATTAACATTATATAGTGCTACGTATTTATTTTAGTTAAATTATGTAAAGTTAAGAAACTATTTAAATGGAAAATGTAACGACGATGGCGGTTCTGAATTTGCCAAGTTTCTGCTTAGGACTTCGGATTCTTTTCTCTAACTGGCAGACAGAAAAGTAGTGCCAGCAGACGACGTCCGAACTGCACGTGTATCCTTACGCCACGCGAATATACATCATATATTGTAATCTACACACAGGCACAGTCCACATCCTGCCTTTCTGTGAACACGCCTTTCGAAATATAAACGCTCTACCCTCCATGTACTTCCAATACATACGCCTAAGAAATAAAAATAGTGCAGTCGTTATTTCATTTTGGAAGAGGGATGTCTACGTTTTCATTTTTCACATCACCATACCTGACTACACTTTCCGTGCGTTTCTTCGTATCACTGGGGATCATTTTAGGAATTCATCGTTTCGGAAAGAAATTGAAAATTACGTATTTATAATATATTTTTGCTGCCACACAAAATTATCAATTTATATTTGCTAGGGGATTAAACTTACACCTCCTACTAGTACCTTCAGTTTTTCATTTCATTTTCATAATATAATGTCGAGCATTTTATTTTTTTTCGAGAGAGAAAAAAGCTAAGGGGTGGTTTTATAATGATTGTATTTGAGTATGAGTTTTTTTTATGTATATTCAACACGTTACAATCAACCAACGCGTATCAAAGACACGAGAGTGGAAGTGCAATTCACCGGCTATCGTACAACTTTGAATTCCCGAAACAATTGGACCGAGTAATGAGAATCATGCATGAGTGCAATGAGGATGTGCTGATTGGGATGAATAGCTCATATTGTCGGGAGAGCCAAAAGCACCAAGAGCCTGTATACAGAGGTTCTCTGGTCATTATAAAATGCCTCGTCTGGTATTCTTTTCTTCATTGTGCTATACTTACACTTTGTCTGTTGCACGTTACGAACATACGATATGTAACATTCAATTAATTTTATCTCATACTAGATATATGTCATAATTTCAGATGTAACAAAATTTTTAGTCGCAATATTTCAAACAAATCATTCACTGGGTGATTATTTACGGAAATTTTTAGCGCTATAATTAACGTTAATCGATATATGCTCTTGCCACTGTTAATATGTAACGGCCTTTAACCCCAAACATTTTCCGATAATAACGAACGACAGATTTGTTATCTTTATTGCACTCGGCTCAAGACAGATTTATGAACTTTAAGACGTCTTTGTGTTTGTACACATGTATAAACCTCTTTAAATATTTTATTATATCCAATTTTAGACAATCGTGTGTAGCGTAAATGCATAAAATCCACAGTTTAATATTTAGTGTCTTTACCAGTCAGCTATATTAACGCTCGAGGATCAAAATATTCGGATCAGCCTTTGTATTTAAATATCAATGCATCGCTACTTCACACACTATTAACATTACAGTATTTATGAATAATGGGTTAATAATTTTCAATAAATCTTTTTTCATTAATACTATCTATCGATGTAACTGCAATTGAACGATTGTCACGTTCTATCTGTATAAATAGATACTAGTTCTGTTATACCGTAATTACTATTTTACCCCAATCTACATATGTATATAAATTCCCGCTACTGTAAGAATAAAATAATATAGTTTACCATTTTAAAAAATGCAGATATGCTTGAAATCTTCGATGTGCCTCTACCTACATGTATGTTCGTACTAATAAATACTGACAGTATTATTGACCGCGTAAGGTCCGCCCATGTTTATCCACGTAGGAGATGGTCACGAAAAATGTTAGGTTATATTGCTTCTAATAGAGTTGACGTTATGTTTATCTAAATGACATAATGTAATGAAATGATTTCGATAGAGCGAAAGATTATCTCTAGTTATTAAGAAAGATAAACGTAAAATTGTACGATACAAGAACGTATATTTCACGAAAGTCGAACGAGCAAGTTCTCCAGCCGTTGTGTGTATACATCAGCTGATTCTCCCACCTTCCCTACCATTTTTCATCAGACAGCGTACTCGAATCGACACTTTGACTACATAGATAATAGAATCGGCTGCGTCGACTCGCTGTTTTTCCACATTGTCAACAAAGAGGCCATCGTGAAAGAACAGCCGTCGCATCTGTGAAGCTAATGGCAGATCATGAAGTTGTCAAGTCGAAAAGGTACGTATTACATTATACTTCCCCTTTGCGAACTGTCATCCGTAGTCCATCTTTTTCTTCGTTTTTTCGCGACCGCCTACCTAATGCCGACAATGTACACATTTTCGTTATATTGCGTTACACCGATTTCACAATTTTTCCGTGTTATATTTTGACATTTCTTGATATTTAATTCGTTACTCGATAATGTTTTCATGCGAGGTGTCTCAAACAACATGTCTGCGTAAAAGCGTTTTGACGTGTACACTTATAGACGAGAGAGAATGTAAATGATCCAAGCACAGGAATAATGTATGTCAAGTTGGATCATGTTTCAAGGTCACGCGTTAAAACTATTTTCGTACGAAGATTCATAACCAAAGAGATCTGTATTTGAATTAACTTCATGTTTGTTTCGAATAATTCTTGAGTGGGTAAGTTACTTTTGAGCTTATGTCCAAGTTTCGTTAATTCGGTGTTCATACACGTCTAACATGTTTATCATCGTGCTTATCAGCATTATTGTGTAATGATTCTATGACATTGAATTCATTGTAGTTAAAACAAAATAATATTTATACTGCTATGTAATATTATGGACTGTAGCAATGATGTGTTCTGCATACGTTAGGCAACTAGTTGAAGTAAATGCATAGAGAATAATTAAGTTAATTAAGTTTCATATAATTCATAAATGATTAAATACATTATTACCAATCATTTTAATATTCTTAACATAGGTGTTTGTATTATTTATTAGCTGGATTTGGGGGTGGTTTAGCTGGTCTGTCTCATCTTCAACTATGCTCCGTGCTGCAGAGAAGAAAATTCTTTCCTGTAAGTTTAGCTTTAACATTTTACTAATTTATGTAAATATTGGTTCCCAATTAATTATGCAGTGATATTATTATTCATTTATTGTTATAATTTCGTGAAACAGGTTTGAAAACTGCATATCGTGGATGGTATGTGGACATAGGACCTGTTGTTGGAACAACAGATAAAATATGGACCATTTCTTTGAACGAAGAGTCACCAAAAACACCAATTGTTTTGTTGCATGGCCTGGGAGCTGGTGTAGCACTGTGGTGCTTAAACTTAGATGCATTTGCTTCTCAGAGACCAGTATATGCTATTGATATACTAGGTAAACTCAGAATTATTAAAATTCTTCATTAAAACTTTGAAACAAATACATTACGTAGAATGTTATTTTATTAATATTCTATGTACATAGAGAATCATTGTGAAATAATATTTTGCTAGTTGCATTTAAATACATGCTTTGTTCTTGAGAACAATTATCAAACATGAGTCATAGATGAGTAAGATTGACCTTTGGAATCATTCACAATCTGTGAAACAGATAATGTTGCACGTTTCTAAAATTTTGCAATTCATTGTTAGAATATTTTGTGTGTTCTTGCCATAAAATTTTTATTAATTACTTGTATCTTATGCATATTGTAATGTTTGTCTCTCTTTTTCTTTGTTCGTATAGTGATTTTTGCATATCTTGTAACATGACAGAAAGATCGCATAAAACATATTTGCTCCAAATCATTTTCTAAATTAATGACGAAATAACATTCTTGGACGTTTTCGTTTTCTTTATTATTGATTCTCCGCGATCCAGGTTTCGGTAGAAGTAGCCGTCCTGTTTTTAGTAACGAAGCCCAAGAAGCCGAAAACCAGCTGGTCCAATCCATCGAAGAATGGAGAAGGGAAATGCAATTAGAAAAATTCGTCTTGCTGGGTCACTCGATGGGTGGCTTCCTCGCAGCATCATATTCTATTCAACATCCTGAAAGGATTAAGCATCTTATACTTGCGGATCCTTGGGGATTCCCTGAAAGGCCTATAGAACCATCTTCCAGAGCACCTATACCTTTCTGGGTGAAAGCTATAGCATATGTGATCCAACCACTGAACCCATTATGGGCGGTCAGAGTAGCTGGTCCATTTGGTTTGTAATTTTTGTAATATATTTCCACGCATTGGTTGTTCGATCTCTATAAGTTCTAACTGAAATATTGTCATTTTCTAGGACAGTGGCTCATTGAGAAAACTAGACCCGATATTGTGAAAAAATTCACACCAGTGTTAAAAGATGATACTGCTGTCATTTCGCAGTATATACATCAATGTAATGCACAGACACCAACGTAAGTCTTTAATGCAGAATATGTTAAGCAACGAAAATGAAAAATTTGTAATTATACATGTATGATACGCTTAATGTATAGGGGTGAAAGCGCATTCCATGCAATGATGCAAGGTTTTGGCTGGGCTAAACATCCTATCGTCAGGAGAATAGATAAGTTGAATTTAGAAATTCCAATAACTTTACTGTACGGTAGTCGATCGTGGGTCGATAACTCCTCTTGGGAAACACTTAAGCAGGCTAGGTCATCGTCTTACATCAATGTTCAGGTATAAAAAAAAATTAAAATTAAAAAAGAGAAGCTTAAGGCACAAGATGAATGATTAAATTGTTAAGATTGTGTTTCCGTTTATTCTAGGCAATAACAGGGGCAGGTCACCATGTTTATGCGGATAAAAGTGACATTTTCAATAAATATGTATTAGAAGCATGTAATTTAAGTGATTCGATACCCCAGTTAACAGCGTCGGAACTTCGTCTGAATATTAGGCCTATAAGTGATCAATTGGCAGTAATTCTTACAGACGAAGAAGTTCAGTTAAAAGTTATGGAAGAACAAGAATTAAATACAACACAGACACGATCTAGTTGAAATTTAGTACAAAAATTTATATTGTTGAATTATATTTATATATGTATATATATATATATATATATTTTCTTGACTTTGTCATGCGGTTTGGTGGACTGCATGCGTCATGTGATCTAGATTAGGTACATGTACTGCAACATACCAAATAATTGCATACAAATTTCGTCTATTGTGTATTTCAATTTCTAATTTATGCAATGTCATATTAGTTGTGTAGTCTATGACTCCTTGAACTATCTTGGGTATAAAACAAATCTGTTCATATTTTCTTTGTTGACTATATATATAATATGTATATTTTCTTCCAAGTGTTAATTAAAATGTTGAGTTTTGATTTGTTTCTCGAGATGTAACATAAATACTATATTATAAATTAGGAAGGTGAGAATTAAAGATGAATAGCAAATATACGAATACTTTCAAACAAACACCAGTAATACCTTTTTCAACATAAACAAATGGTAGTAGTGTAAAATCAATTAAAATCAAGATCAATAATTAAGTAATTATCGTATGTAAATTACGTTGGAAATGTAGTAGAGGAACATTGAATTGTACATTATGTACAGTTATGAAACAAAACTAAAAATTACATATACGAATAAATAATGTTGATATTGGTTTTGTTCATTAAATGTAAATTATAATAAAAAAAAAAAGAATTGTGCAATGCATCTTGTGATTAATAGTTCCATTATTACATACATATAAATTACTCTATTTAAATTTTTATGCTAATATAAATAGAAATTTATTTAATATTTATCTACATATTCATCACTTTCAATATCAGTATCATCAGTATCAATATATGTATCATCAATATCAATATCATCATCTACATCGTCTTCTGTGTCTTCGGTTACATCAAATATAATATTACTATTAGTACGACTGTTATTACGTTTCAGTCTCCGTTGTCTCTGTTTTTCGCGCAAGTAATTGTTAAACTGTTCTTGTTGTTCTTCTGTGGTCAAGAAACTTGGCATGCTCTGTGAGCTGGACTCAGAAGTAGGAGTCGGATTTAACTGATTGTTATTTTCCTTCCAGTGTACTTGTTTCGCCTGATTTAACGAAGCCTTAATCTGTAAAAGTGGAAAGTGTTTTGAAAAATTATCAATACAATGATAACTATTCGTACACTATACCTTCGACATTATCCTAGCATGATTTAATCCAAATACATCGTGCCTCATTATCGGTAAAGTTACACTGAAGTTACTATTAGAATTATCTGTGTTCTTAGATTCTAAACTTTTTTCATCAGTATTGACAGAATTTGAGAATGTTACAACACAATTTGTAGCGAGTGGATACACACTGGGTATATAATCTTCCCCATAATCTGCAATTGCTAATCTTCTGTCTACTTCGTTCTGTGCATGTATGTGCTTGTACCGAACAAACTGAATGGGAGGTACTCTGCCTATGACATGAAGCTGTGTTAACTCATATCTCAATTGGAATGCACATCTTTTTAATATTTCTTCAGTGTCAGATGTATCAAGACTATTGTCTGACCAATATATGTTAACAAGTTTAAAATCTTGAGTTACTTTTACATCGTGAATTTCGACGCTTTTATTCATAAGGCCAAGATCAATCTCCCCTGTGCACATAAAGTCTGTAATGTGCTTCATGAAAACTTTATTTAGCACAGTCATTCTTCGATGCGTATGTTTGGATATTGTTTTCTTTGGTATCTCGCTCAAAGTGTAACCATCCATTTGGATTCTAAAAATTTATAAAGTCTATCGTGAGACTACAAAATTTTTCAAACATTATTAAACAGTAAAGAAACAAAAAATGTAAACTTACTTGCCCTGATCATTCCTACGTAATATCTTGTTCATAATCCTACTTTGCTTAGAAATGTTACTTTTTATGCTACTAGTAAAGAAATGTCTATAAACTTGAATTGTTACAAATGTTTGTATACTTTGCATGCTTCTGAAGAAATACATCTTCTATGAGACACTGATTTCTTTCAAAACATTGATATTTTACGAATATGTATATTTTATATGTCAAGCAATTTTACATTTATTGAAAAACAGTGAGTACTGTGAAAATAATCTAAATTGTTTTAATTACACGATCAAGTACGTATTTATCAAATTTTGTGTCTATTGGAATGATCTTATTCATCTTGATAGGTTATACGCCAGGTGAATATATATATGTAATATGTGTACTACATACATACATACATATCATACACGGCCCATGTTATATATGTATATATATATATATAAATATACCATATATAGTTTATATAGATAGTACGTGTACACATACTGATTGATAATGCCTATGTTTTTCAAATAATACATATATCTCAATTTAGCATTATTCTTTCAATATTAAAGAAATTAACGATAATTATTTGGAATGTTTAATTATGGTAGAATATTTTTGTGAATACATTAAATACAAATTTTAGACTTATTAGGTTTACGTTATTTTACAATTATTATTAAAAACTAGACTGCGAATATTTATGCTAATTTTTGCTTCCACACGCTACCATTAAGTGAAACTGATTCATTATGCTAAACATAATCCATACGATTCATTAATAACTAACTTATGCTTTTAATTCACATGTAATTATTATAGAAAACAAAATAAATTAAATCTAACAATAACAGTTCATAGTATATACAATTCTTCTTCTGAGTTTAATAAATAAGGAAAATAGATTTCTTTTTAAAATATACGTTCAATAATGTGAAGTGCATGTACATTTACAGTATACTAAACTAATAACAACAATATCAAAAAGGAATACAGTAAGGGATAAATTTGTTACCAGTGAAGTTTATGTATATCATATGTATTTAAATATTAATAGTAATGTAGGAAGTGTGTTTGTTTTTACTTCCACACATTAGTTGAAAATATATTTTAGTCTCTGAATCCTAGACTAACGAGAAGAGAAATTGGAAATCTATTAAATATTTATTAATATACATTTACTCTTAACATCATATTAAAATAGATGTAACATATAAAATTTTTATTTTTTCTAATTTACTTTGTGTTACAATACTATGTACATATAAACTATCAATAATTAATTATATGCCGATAAAACTTTACACTTCCATTTTATCTAAAGGGAGAAGTCGTTAGAGGAACTGCCATAATTGCGCAAACGAGAAACAAAATCTCGACACATAAACTTTCTTACAGAGTTTCGTCGGTCTAACTGAAAACATTCGTGAATATAGATTCCAAGAATTGTTATGCGACTGTTGATACTGAGAAATTTGTATATGATCATGCTACGACATCTGTCTGAGAGAACTAATCAGATTCACTTACAAACTTTTTTTCTTTACTTATACTGTCTTTACTGTACAATATTTCCTGAATACAAACAAGAAATTTCCTTTTCAATCTTCTTAACTCGTTGAATGTCGATCTTATCTTAATGATATTATTTATAACATTTGTAATTTATATATATTTATATATATTGTTTGGTAATAAAAAAAGAAAGGAAAACAGATTAATGAGATCAAAAGTCAAATTTGAAAAACACTTATACCTAAATGCACGCGTCACGTGCGGCCGGGAACTGGAACAGTCCGCGAGCGAAAAAAAAAAATTGTCCTGGGAGACGCAAATAACTTATTACATTCAAGACCAAGAAAAATACATTGGACAATGAACTGTCGAAAATTTTGTAGCTTCAAAACTTACGCATAGTAAATTTAATTAAATATCACCCAAATCATGTTTATATGCACCGAGCACTCTATTAAATCTCGGAACATACTTAAATCTACTGGTAAAATAAAGTACATTTACCATTTATGGCCGTTACTTTTACAAATTCATCATATACGTTTTTATATGTATGTGTACGTCGTATATATATACATATATAACTTCAGAGAGAGTACATAGCTCAATCAAAATACCATTGATCAGTGATACCAATAACAGTCAGAATTATTTCCATTGATATATTGAACCAATCACGATTTAAATCACTTTTTAGATTTCATAAAAATACAATAATTCATACTTTTCAACTAATATCAAAATGTAAAGGAATACGTTGAAAATGCCTAATTTTTTCTTTATTTGTTTACGAATAATTTTTAGAAGTACTGGAAACAATATTTTGGCCTTACTCGACACAACAGTATTGTCGTATCCTATACACGATTATATATCATACGAGCTTTTTCTCTATTTCTAACATGATCATACCTGAGAAACGAATAATTCATTTACTTTAAGCCGCACAGCCAAGAAACAGAAATTCAACTTTTAAAAATGTATTTTCCCTACTTGTTCGATTTTCAATGACGTTTTATATTCGAGACGGAAATTCAAATGTCCTCCGAACGTTCTCTATTCATTACTCGTCGCGTACGATTCCTTCGAGAAACACACGCGACTCTGAACCGCAATTCCTATTGATTCTGCGTACGTCGTTCACCGATTATGTTCTCTAATTTACGCGCAACAAAGGCAGTTGTCTTCTTTATAGGGGACGAACCTTCAGACATTTCTACATCCGTATCGTCCGATAAAAGTCTCTTACCGACCGATCGCTTTGGGTCGATGGAGATCATCATTTTGTTAATAGCCTCCAAATCCTGTAAACCAAAAGAAACGTTATAAAATATATGCTTCACATAATTATATAGATTAAACGAAGAAAAAGTCACTGATATGGCCATTATAACACAGGAAATATGGAAAGGCAAGAAATTCTATTCGTTACATTAACATTTAGTGCCATATGAGAATTTTTAATAAAAATTTCAATGTACCTTAGCGGGACTACGACTAAAGCAATAACTAAGTTGCGGCGCTGGCGAAGCGGAAATTGCTTTCGGGTCCAGCGTACGAGTCATAATACTACTGGTCACGTGTCTGACCGGTGAACTCGCCGGTGGTTTCCCCTTTGGCAAAGGGCTTAACGACAAATTCATGACACTACCGCGCGCCAGTCCCAATTTGTTCGCGACTTCTTTCACTTGCGGAACGTATACTGTGTTGTAAAATTTGATCAGGTCGCCGCGGATTTCTTCGCCGAAACTCTGCGATGTTCCCGCCATGTTCGAGGGCGTAGGCGGCGCCACGTTGGTCTCCTTGTCGGTCTCTTCTTTCGTACTGGACTCCTCGTTGTTCGATTGCGAGTGGTTTGATGGTGTCTTCGCGATAAGTACCGACCTGTATATATGGGACTCTGCCTGCGGTTGCAATCGATAGCACCGCATGATCTCCGTAAACGAATTCTTCTCCATTTTAGCTAGTTTACAGATCACATAGATTGCACACATTAAAATCTGATCGAGATGCCGATCCTTCATTAGTTCTGTTCTCTCTTTGATTGAGTACTCGAAAATCGTCCAGATTTTCTTCTTCAGGTCGATGTCCATGATCTCCAGCGAGCCGCACAGATCCAACATGCGGACGGACGCGAGGTTGTAAAATTTCCTAAAGAACAACGCCACGGAACCGGTCCGTTTTGGCTTTACCGGCTCCCGGTTCACCGTTACAGTCTGCATCGTAGTTGCGGACTGAACACTGGACGATCTTGGAACGGTGATTTGATCAGGTAACAACAGTATTCTCGAATTACCGATTATCGGATTATCGATCGCCAGGACCTTCGACGATAACATGCTCTGGCCAGCTACTCGCAATACGCTCTGACCACCGATCCGAGTGTCACTGAACAGGCGCTTTTTGGCTACGCCGGAAGCCGCGACAGGCGACTGAAATCTCTCCGAGGCGGACGAAATAGGACTCTGTTGCACATCGTGATGGGTACCGCGGTCTAAAGCGATTCTCCTTAGTACCGGTTGTCCGGGGATATTCGGGTCAATGGTCTCCAACGTTCCTGGCAGCGAGACCTCTTCGCAACTAGGAACACCTTCCGGCGTGGATTGAATAGCCCCCCACAGAGGGCTGTCACTTTGCCACGCGAGAGACTCTAGAATCTTTTCCTCTATCTGATTCAAATGCTTCACGACGTCGCGCGACAACTGATCCTCCGCCCTGACTATAATTTCTATTACTTTATAAAAGTAGTAGGCGTCTAAATTCAGCGCATTCAGGATCCAAGGAAACACTTTGTCGTTGCTCTTGTACGAGTAGATAACAATCTCCAAGCAACAGGCGAATAAGCACTGAATAAAAACCTCGTTCGTAAGAAGGTTCTGAAACATACGAACAGATATGTTATTTAGAGACCATAGTTCTTTCTAGGTGTATTTTAGATAATCATTCAATGTACCGTCACATCGTAACTCGGCTTCTTGCGTTTCTCATCGTTTAAAATCATCTCTAAAAGTCTGTAAAATAGAGTCTGACCCAGGTACAGCCTCTTCTTTCCAAAATCTGAAGTAGTCTCGTTAGCGTTTGTACTTTTATTGTAATTTGCGCAGAACTGTTCCCCTATTTCTTTCACCTTCAATTCCACTAACGACTTCACATCTTGAGAACAACTGTTCAATATCTGCAGCAGATTCTCGCTCGGCGATGTCTGACCGGCCAGCATCGCTTGAAGCCGAATTACACTTTGCGTCGCAGTGGATACCGGTGTTACATTGGTAATATCCTTTGGTCTCAGATAACCACGTCCAGTTAATGGAGTGGGCGGAGCCAAATGTTGAATCTGCTATGAGAAATTTCGTAATGTGAATTCGGTTAAGGAAATCATGGTTTACGAGTAGAACGGATGTATAATAGTACTTATTGCACGTACCCCACTGTATTGCTCCCTCTTTAGTTGAAACTGTTCTTGAAGTTCTCCAACATTCATCATCTGTGTAGGAGAACCAATATTATTACTAGCATCATGACCTAAAACAAAAGAAAGTCCGACATAAAATATTGACACGTAATCTGTGAGAATTAGATGGCGGATTTTATGCACTTAGAACAAATATGATGATTCTTAACAGGGTGAAATGAAAATTTTAGCAATGACGAATAAAGTTCACTTATTATCTTTAATTGAGCAAACACTTAACAGATGAAACAAACTTTTTTCTTGCTATTGGTCTCTGTCAAACTGACTATGAAAATGGAAATTTGCATGTGCATCCACACAGTACTTATTTTGTTTACACAGCTGAATACGAAAGGTAAACACAGTGTATGTATACATCTACCAACTCAATTATACTGCTCATAATCTATAGTCTGTATGCAACAAGTGTGTAAAATGCAATAAGTGAATGTAATCCTTATTAATGAAAATCAACTTCTGTGTAACATTCTAGAAAAATGTAAATTTGCATGTTTCTACATCTGATGAATTGTTGTCGTATCTTACAGCAGAAAATGAAATTTCCTGCATATTATAAACCCACCTTTAAGAGAAATATGTTTGGCTAATTTAGCATAAGCTATATCTCCTCCAACTATTTCCAAGCTTGACACTCCATTCAGTCTGACTCGCCTCCAATCAGCTTCAAACCACACCCCAGACAAAGCAAACACAAATTGGTTAACAGCAAGAAATGAAAATTATTATCATACATGATAGTGATAAATCGTGCATTCTGTCCTCAGTTAACAAAATGCAAATCAAAAAACATAAGTAGATCGGTAAGATAAACTTAAAGATATCCAGATAATGTTATCTCAATAGAAGAACATAGTATGTATTCTAGATCGTGTAATTATTTACAATGAATACAATAATACCACAGTTTATATAAATACTAATTTTTCTTATTCTATACACTTCTGTTTAAATATCAGTTATTAACATATAATGAGAAAAGCAAAAACTTATGCTGTATTTATTAAAGCAAAGACAATTAAAGTAAGCATACAAGCATGCAAGTTACAGTATTGTTTTCTTTTATTTACAACCACTTCTCCCTCAATAAGCAAAATTAATAGCTGGAACTGTTAAATACATATAAATCGATAAAGAAATATTTACCTAAGAAGATTCTTTCATCAAAATCACCGACACTCAGTACATGTTGCTCATATACTCTATTGATGGCTTTATTGTTGCCATCGAAATTTAAAGCTTCCAAAATACCAGAAAAATTTGACGGATCTCCTCGTAGTACTCTTTCGTCAAATAATTTTTTTATATGGTTTTTCAGATAATATTCCTTAATGACTTTAGCCTCGACAGCGATAGCTTCGTGACGTTCACACAGCAAACTGACTATACAATTTGCTGTTTGCGGTGGTGTATAATTCTCATCATTAAAATTTGGAGGTAGACCTAGTGTGCAGAACAAACACACAAACGAACAATTAATAACTCTGATTTTCTTTTAATCGAATGTTCCATTTTACAATATAAATTTACCTGGAAAATTAGGATTCAAAAGGTCTTTCCTATTAGCCAATAGAGCATTGCTATATATCAGATCACAACAGACTAATAGTAAATGATAAGAATTAACTAGATCATCCGAGATATCAGGAAATGCTCCCTTTATACAAATAAATAATGTCCAACAGAATTCAAACACTCTTGCTGGAGTGCAAGGCATCGCTTTGTGTCTTCTCGATCTTGGCGGTCTTGAAATATCATCCGCTGGATCTTTAAATATATCAGTGAAGATTGGTTGATATTTCTTAAATATAACCATAGAAACAGAAAAATTTCCCTCCAGCTTCTCGATTTTAGAACGAAAGTCCGATGGCATATTTGCCATGTCTGCCCAAGATTTGCTTTTCATAAAAAATTGTATTAGCGGAAGGTTGCACAATTGTAGCAAACGAGTCAACGACACACAATTGCCTTCCACATTAGTGCCTGTCTTCCCAACAGTGGGTATAGAAGATTTACGGCACGCTACATACAGTGCACATCCTATCCAATGTAACTGATCACCCTGAAAACAATCATAATATCCTTTAATATAATTTAGCAAAAAGTTGTCAAACAGAAGTCTGATTACTTCAAATGAAACTATAAAAATGTCGAAGTATAGTCGATATTTTATCCGAGATAAAATGTATGGATGATTGTTGGAGATAAAATATATAGCACTAACTCTTACAATTAATTAAACCATGATTGTTAAACATTTACAATCAATGCAACCAAGGACATATAATAGATTTTTTCTTTATCTAAGATATTTAATGCTTCCATAGCTGAATACCATAAGTTTATTACTATGAATTGTGGCTGTATTTTGTGTGCTTGTAAAGAAAATCATCCTAATGATTCACCACCATTGCAGCTAGTTCCATCAGAGGTTGACTAGGACACATTGATCTTTGCTGAACAGTAGTCTACTGTCAGAAAACTGGATAATAATTCTGATTGTCTCAGAAAGAAAGATGAAAGACTTGCAAAGGAGAAATAGAAAATATACTGTAAGAATCTAATAAAGGAAAGGGAACACGATATTCTCAACAATTGGAGCTTATGTGAAGTATAAATAACAGGAACAAACAGTGGCAGGTAGAGTCTTTTCACCAATTTGTTCCTGTTACGCCAAGGCATTCCTTGCATCGTGAAATTGATACGTTCAAGGAACGTTCTCTATTATTGTTTCAAATTGGTGCGCCTTGGTGAACGGGCTAAAACAAACCGCGAACTCAACTACATCGAACGTCGCGCTAGAAAAGTCAAACGATCCAGTACGTCATAAAGTTAACGATTTCAATCAACTAAAAGGTGATCCAAGGTGAAAAGCCTAAGATACCATGACTTGGAATTTAAACAAACGAACACAGTTCGAAACAGCCACGACACCGGAGTATATGATTCAAAAAGTACCTCAAGAGTATAATTCTGTCGAATGGTCTCGTAGGATTTCCAGGCCTCGGACGCGGCGGTCGCGTCCATATTCAATTTCTGACACAAATCCTGGTGTCTACTATAAGTAGAGTCCTCAATGTCGTCCGACTGCCCCATTTTCGTCGGGAAACCGATGGAAAACCGCAGGGAAACACGACTACCTTAAACCGCTACGGACGACCGAGCTGCGCCATACGAAGTCCCTGCGCTGGTTTGGCGGGAAACGAGTTGACCTCCGCCATATTTGCCATGTTGGCGGGAAATGTAGAACGTCGATTATAAGAAAAAAATCCTTAGGTCGATCTTGCACGGAAATAGTTGATCATTTGACGTTTATTTTACTCGTAAAGCAATGTGAAAAAAATCATGCAATATTTCTTACTTTATACAATTGATACGAAAATAGAGCTCTGAATAAGTTCCCGAGTATCGATTACGCGGCAATCGCTTTTATGATCTTTGAAACGGCGGGATTAAAAGAGGCGGTAAAGTTTTTAGTTAATCACATTCACATCCACAAAGCGAATATATCTGTGTGTTTTATTATTTAGGCGCATCCTCTATACACAGAGACAATAAAATAAACAAAATTATTAAACATGTTAACACTTTGTCGACAGGACATGAGGAATATTTACACGAATGGCGCGTGACATCCAATCAAAAAATTTTCATTTGAAATGCTCATTTTTCATTGGCACTCTGATGATCGATCTTGTATGCTTGTCCATTTTGTATCTTGTAAAACTAATATACATATAATACACCGACAAATGTTCGGTTCAAAGAAATTTATATTTTACTTATTTTTCGTTTATTGGTTTTAAAGCATTCACTCTTTAAATATTATAAATTTAATATTGAAGATGGGCTTATTTATTTATTTGATGTTGCGTAGAATCGTTGATGATTTTTATTTTCTTTAATATACATTTTTCTAATTTTAACATACCCTGAATTATCAATTTAATTAGATATAAAGACGCGTGTGGAATTAAAAATTGCTTACTGATGGTGCATTTCCATAGTTCATTGAAACATTGTTTGTTGCCAACCCCTTAAAATGATTTGATAGATCATCTGATGTCATCTGAGGTCATCTCAAACAAGTTTGGGCTGTTTGTGATGTTTTATGTTTGTAAATGTTTTTATTACAAATCATTTAACATTAATACAGTGTTTAATAATCGTTACACATCGTTTTGTATTTGACTACTAATTCAATATGATAATATTGATGAATAATTTAGTTAAATAATCAGGAATATGTTTAACCTACAAACTCATGATTCATGTAGCTGTTGATAGTAACGAAAAAATCAGCTGTTGTTTCTAATGGCTGTAAATATTGACAAATCATTTTAAAAAAAGCAGCATGACAAATAGTACGATAGCTACATCCAATTTTTACATTTTCTGTGTATCTTGTGCCACCATTATTTCTAAACATATTGATTACAAGTCTGATGTTAAGAAATATGTGTTACACAAAACTTGTTCAGTGAACTGTAAATTTTCTTAAATGTTAGAAGCAGGTATTTTAAATTTTAAATTAGTACAATCTGTTACTTAATTAAATGTTTGTATTATGTTACACCATCATGTATAAATTTTCAAAAATTGATATGAATAGAAATTTATTTCTTGTGACAAATGATTTATTAAGTTAAGAATAAATTGCAAATTTGGTTAAAGTTTATTTTATTGTTTCTTTTATTATATATAAATATTATAAATGTATAAACATCTGTAGGCTAAATATTACTGAAAACTAAGTCATTTTCTAAAATAGAAAATTTAACAATTCCTTTTGCGTATGTTTAAACATTTTTTATATTATTTTAGAGAATTAAAAATGGTGGCTGGTCCTACAGAACACGGCATACAGGCAGATGTAATATTTGTCATTGAAGGTACAGCTGTTAATGGAGCCTATCTCAATGACCTTAGAACAAATTATCTTCTTCCAACACTTGAGTAAGTTTTAAGTCATCTCTTGCATTCTTCTGCTTTGTTAATCAGCTTTTTATATTTTATTTATTTAAATTCATTCATTTGCAATATTTTTATAGGTACTTCAATCAAGGTCCTATTGAAGATAGGGAATATGTTTCTGAGGTAAAATAACAAGTAATGCAATCTTCTATTAGAGTCTTATGCTAAATGTGTTAAATATGTTATACACTAACAGATTTACCACAAAAATCAGTTCAGTAAAGATTTCCAAACATCAAAACTTTTACATCTCATTTACTTCAGAATAGCGCAACATTATATGGTATAGTGGTTTACCATGCTGCTGACTGTTTGCCAGCGCCATGTACGGAGACGTTTGGGCCATATGCTAATCCTCACAAATTACTGCTCGTTCTGGACAAATTAGAGTAAGTAACGTCATGTGTTTCCAGTCTTAAGAATAAGACCAATAATAAGACTTACATTCAAACAGCATGGTTGGCGGAAAGGGAGAATCTTATGCAAATATTGGAGAGGGTCTGGCTACTGGATTGCAATGTTTTGAAGATCTGCAATTACGACGTGAACCAAACACGGCGTCACAGAAGCATTGTATTTTGATTTGTAATTCTCCTCCGTATCAGACAGTTATACAAGAATCATATAAATTCGCCGGTCATACTATCGAGCAGTTGGCTGCATTGTATCAAGAGGTACCTGAATATGAATAAATCTCAATACGAACTGTGAATTTCGACTTATATACAAAATTTGCTTATTTCAGAGAAACATTAATCTATCGATATTGTCACCTAGAAAGATACCTGCAATGTACAAGCTGTTTGAAAAAGCTGGAGGTGATCTGCAATCGTCCCAGACTAAAAATTATGCTAAAGATCCGCGACATTTGGTACTACTGCGCAATTACAACTTAAAGGAAAGACCCGTCAGTCCTCCAATCGGTGGATCTGTACACACTACTCCGGGTACTGCCGCACAAATTCCATTGAGTCCACTGCAAAGCAACGATAGTCCGAACACGAACCAAGTTCAACAGAATATCGCTCAACCATCCCAACCACAAGGTCCTCCATTCAGGAACCAAACACCTCAGAATATTACCTCGGTTCATCAGACGGTGGTACCAATCGCGGCTGCTATGAATGCTGGACGACCTCCCTACAATCCTCAAATATCCGCTCCGCCGACGTATCACCCGACAAGTGTAGCAGCAAGAGCAGGTCATACCAGATGGAGACCGTTCGTAACACCAGGAAATACTGGGCCAGGGAATGCGCAGAGTAGTGCTTTGATAGCGCAATTAAATCAGCCTCCTTCTTTGGGACTTAACGTAACACCATTTGGGCAGAGAATGGATGGTAATAAGAGATTCATAATTTTAGTATCGGTACCGTAATTATTATACACACTGTTTACTTGATTCGTGGTATATTGGTTTATTAATCATCCTTATTGATTCAGAGCAAAACAAAATGAAAAGATTATTAGTAGCAAGAATACGAACTACATAAATGTAGAAAGACAATTTAAGTGTTCTACCAAGTTTAACTCTTGGGTTGTATATAGTTTCAAACTCTACCGCTTTTAATCGTAGATGGCGTAACAGTAGCATAGTGGTTTTCTATATCCGTGTGAAAGGTTCAGTTTGTCGTATTCTTCATATGTAGCCTGATATGCCAAAAGATCTTTCTTTTTAAAGTATAATTTTTCTTCATAACGTTATTTTAATTTCATATCCTTTACTTGGATCAAGTAGTTCCAGGAATTTAAGAAAATACATGTAATGTGCACTTACAGTGGCTAACAGTAATGTCATGGCTGCCAATGCGCAACAACAACAGCAGCAACAGCAACAACAACAGCAACAGCAGCAAATGACTCAGCAACAACAAGTGAGATTCACGATGCAATTACAACAACAGCAACAGCAACAACAACAGCAAAATGTTCAGCAACAAGCTTCGATACCCATGGCACCTCAGTCAAATCATGGACAAGGTGCACCACAACTTACTGTGTCATGCGTTAGTCAGTCTGTACCCACTCAAGTCCCACAAACAGTTACTGCTTCCCAGACACAGGCATCAGTGTCATCAGTCAGTCAACAGCAGCAGGTATCTAAATTGCACGTTTTTTTACACGAATTTTACAGGGACGTATCTATAGCGTAAAAATAAAATTAGGTGTATATGTATATTTCACGCAAGTTTTTTTCATTTATTCTGATTAGAAAATTTTATATACGAGAGATTAATCTTGTAGGGTAATATGAGTGCTGGACCTGTAGCTGGTCCACAAATTACTGCCTCAAGGGAAAGGCATACAATATGGCAGGGTATCATTGAGTGGGTCGAGAAAGCTAAAGCACCGGCAGACACACAGAAACAGACAAGACATCTTCCTTGTCAAGTTTCCGCGAACTCTAAAGATGGTGATCCAGAATTGTAAGTTCCTTTTCGGAAGAAATCGTGGCATTGTAAGCATTTCACTTAATTAACACATGCTTCTTTGATTTGCAGAAAAGCCGACACTTGGCCACAAAAGTTGCTTATGCAATTGATGCCCAAGCACTTGATTGGCAACATTGGTGGATCTTATTTGAAAAATTCTAAATCTGTCCTGTTCCACCCAACACCTTGCGAGGCACTGGATTCGTTGACTAAAGTTCTGAGCTCCGGATTTGTTAGTACTCAGTATATTTTCGAATAATTTATAAACACAGCTGTCTTGATTAGCCATTGAGAACAATCGTGTTACAGGCAGGCTGTGTTCACTTTACCTTTTTGCCGTCAACAGCGACCTGCGACATAAAAGTACTTATTCTCCTGTACACGGCTGAGAAAAGAACTTATCTAGGTTTCATTCCAAACGATCAGTCGGGTTTCGTGGACCGTCTACGGAAAGTAATTCAGCAACAGAAAACATCTCACGCTTCTATGAGACAGGTTCAAGTGAGTGGAAATCTTTTTAACCGACGAATGAATAATCTCTGAACACAGAGATATGACGATTCAATACCGTAGGCTGGACCTGCACAAGGGAATCCGATAACTGGATCGATGGCCAGCACAGGTACATCGCAAGGCGGTATTCTTATGTCTCAAACGAATACGATGACAATGGGAGGTGGTCAAATAACACAAAATGTAGTTCCCACAAACGCACCGCAACAAACATTAACTTCATCTGCTGGACCACAAAATCAAATGAATATGCAGGTAAATTGCACAATTGGAATAGAGTCTGTACATTTTGATAGATGTTTATGTTAAAAAATTATTATTGTATGTAAAAAAAGTATGTGACTGACTTTAAATTGACCCTCAATCGCAATGAAACCATAACTGTAAAAGCATGTAGCATCAATCCTTTTCGACATTTTAACATGGTAGAGAAAATTATTCCGCTTAATGTCTCGATAGCCTGGCGCAATTAATGGCCCCCAAGTTGCTCCAACCTCCGGCACGATGATAGGTCAACAGAGACCACCGTTCGATGATATAGAAATAGCTAGGCATCAAAACCTATTAAAAATCCAACAGTTACGGCAAACATTAGAAGCCGCGCAGCAACAAGAAGCGCAATATAAGTCGCAATTGGAAGTAAATGTGAGCATAAAAAATGGCAAAATACAATGACAAGAGGTATTAGAATGTTGTATCACGTGTAACAATTACTTTTACAGATACAACAAAATTTAGAAGTAGCGCAACAACAAGAAATGCAATACAAGCAACAGATGGAGGTATAATGATTTTGAAGATTATTTTTTATTTTATGCTTTTGACTTAAAAGGAATTTAATAGAAAATATTTTTGTATAGGCTCAGCAAGCACAGAGAGCTTTAAATCCTGCTGGCATGAGTAATCAACAGGCGAACCCACCGAGACTAATGCGACCTGTTTCAAATCTGGGTCTCAGGCATTTATTACAACAAGTATGATATCGTATATTTTTTGTCGACTAAAAGAAATCGAGTAGTGGACAATTTAGTAACGTGTATAAATTGTCTGTTATAGCCACAACCACCATATAGGCAACAAGTACTTGCAATACAGCAACAAATAGTTGGAGCCAGGGGCCAAATGCCGACAAGACCAATGGCTCCTGGTAATCCACAAAATCAGCAGTTCGAGGATGTCCCCAATTATGATTTCCTTGGATAGACAATTTAAATAGGAAATATCTTTTTTAACAGGTTACTATTTAGGCTATAAATTATTCGCCAGTACGTACGAGTGGTTTTGATACTTTTTACATACATTATGACCTTCAGAATACTCGTACGTGCAAAAAATTTATGTGTTAAGACTGCAAAGTGTATATTTCATCTTACGATGAATGGAGAAGAGTAATATGTTCATAATTGTAGAATAAATAAAAGTTTAAGACGGATGGTTAGAATTCTTTTCTATACTGTCATTTAGTGATTGTTGTTAATTTTTTTATGATAATTAACCAGAATGTATAGTGATCAAATAATTGCTTTTTTAATAACAAATGTTTAACAAAATAATATTCCTACATTCCATATGCTTGATCAGATACGAAGAATTTTTATTTTCGTAGAACATTCAAATTTCATGAATCTTAATAATGTAATTTCTATTAGAAAAAAGTATTTATTGTTACACATAAAAGCACGTGGTAAGAAATGGCAAGGTTATGTATCGTTCCGTCAATTATAATTTGATAGTAGCAGTTAAGAAACCTGTTGCGCGAGTCAACTATACAAGTTTTTGAGATTTTATATATATATATATGTATGTATATATAATACTGTAAGTCTACAAGTTAAATACTTGTTACTGTCACGAATAGTTTTGCAGTTAATCATTGAGGTAAAAAGTACATTTTTTGTATTAAAATCAATTTAAATCATTTAGTCACCATCATAATAAATAAGTCGAATAATTCAGTTGTGATGATCATTATGTTTTTATATAAAATTATTCTGTAACTATTGTAAACTGTTATTACTGTCTATAACATTATTATTTCAGATTCAAAAATATGTTTTTCAGCTTGCTTTGGCATTAGTCTAATAATAGATTAGTTGTCAAATTTAAGTTACTTCAATTTAAAGAAATTGAAATATGGAAATTTAATAGGTGTTACTTGAACATTTTTACATATTATTTTAGAAGAGATAAACATTTTTTTTTAATACTGTCAGGTCTGCAGGGTTCTTACAGGAAACAAAAAGATTCAAATGTTTTCAGAGCACAGTAATATGTGAATACACATACCATCTCAGAAAAGATAAGAATATTATTGAGCAAGATATCCTTTTGGCCTTACTGTAAACTCTGTTTGATTTTGAAATAATAACATGGATACTCTATTTTGCAATTACCATACTGATAAATGAAGATAACATAATGACTTCATTGGTAGTGTACCAGGGGGTCCGACTGAATGTAATCGATAATTATCAACTCAGTATTAGTCTATACGCATCATTATACTCTGATGTTTCCATATTTCATTCTATCTGTTTAATTTTCTTGTTTATTTTATTTGTTTGTGATCAGTGATCCATAAAACATGGCTATTATAACATTCTATAAAGTACCTGGATTGAAATCTGGCCATCTTAAAAGCAAATTCAAGAGTCTTGTTCAAATATCGAATTCAATAAGTAGCCTAGAGACAGAATTGTGCTACTACATTGAAACTAGAGAACCTTTAACCAACGAAGAATTAAATCTGTTAAAATGGATTCTAATTCCTCCATTTGAACAACACAGTTTGAAGACTTCTAGTGCGTTCAATGGGGAACTAGATGGTAACTTAGTTATTGAAATTGGTCCAAGGTAAGGCAGATCAGTAGATGAAAAATTATTCGTTTTAAAATAATATAATAATGAAAGTTTTTTTATATTCTTGCAGGCTGAACTTTTCTACAGCATTCTCTAGCAATGCCGTGTCAATTTGTAAGTCTGTGCATCTACATAAAATAACAAGAATCGAAGCAGCAGTTCGATATTGCATCAAACATACTGGAGAAATTGATAAAAACAAAGAAGATGCTGTACGTGCAATAACTTCATAATAGTATTTTGGAAAGAAGTGGTGCATTCTGTGCATATTTTTTTTTTCTTGTAGATAACGGAAGCGCTACTCGATAAAATGACCGAATGCAGGTACACGAAACCTATAGAAACATTTGATCATGGTTTTAGACCTGCAGAATGGTTTGAAGTAGATATTCTAAAAGGTGGACGAAAAGCACTGGAGGAAGTAAACTCAAAATTAGGTATATACTTAAAATGGACTGCAACGTTACTTTATACGATATAAAATATTAATTATATTCTTCATGTAGGTTTGGCATTCGACAATTGGGATTTAGACTTTTATACGGACCTGTTCCTCAACAAATTGAAGCGCAATCCAACCAGCGTTGAGTGCTTCGATTTAGCACAATCGAACAGTGAACATAGCCGTCACTGGTTCTTCAAAGGTCACATGATTGTCGATGGTGAAGAGATGAAGAAGTCATTACTTGACATGATTATAGAAACACAGAAATACTCGAATCCGAACAATACAATTAAATTCAGCGACAATAGCAGTGCGATTAAAGGACATCAAGTGAAAACACTAAGACCCAGTGAAACCCATAAATGTAGTCCGCTTCGTTTAGAAGATGTGGACCAAGATCTTATATTCACTGCAGAGACTCACAATTTTCCAACTGGCGTTGCTCCATTTAGGTAAATAATTCAAAAATTGGCTATAGAAGTTAGAAGACATTATACGGTTATTGTGATTTATAGTGGAGCCACAACCGGAACTGGTGGGAGATTACGAGACGTCCAAGGCATCGGCAGAGGAGGGTATTATATTGCTGGAACAGCTGGTTATTCCGTTGGTAATCTGCATATTCCAGGTTCGTTCTATTTTCTTGGAGCTTGTAGAAATCCAAGAAATGTCTACGTTTCTCATCGATTAATTCGTTTTCTTCGTAGAGTATGATCTACCATGGGAAGAGAAGGATTTACCATACCCTAATAATATGGCTAGTCCATTGGAGATTCTAATTGAAGCTAGTAACGGTGCATCTGACTATGGTAACAAATTTGGTGAACCAGTTGTATCTGGCTTCGCTCGTTCCTTTGGTATGACGGATAATGTTGGCGTACGACGTGAATGGATTAAACCTATTATGTTCAGTGGGGGATTGGGTACAATGGACGCTGATATGTCGCATAAACTTCCACCGCAAAAAGGTGAAAAATCATTACTTCGTAGATGATTAAATACAGTACATAAAAACTTACGACTAATTGTTGTAGGTATGGAAGTGATTAAAATTGGTGGTCCTGTATATAGAATAGGTGTAGGAGGCGGTTAAATTAATTGTCATCAGGTGCAAGGCGATAACAAATCGGACCTCGATTTTGGAGCAGTTCAAAGAGGTGATCCAGAAATGGAACAAAAAATGAATAGAGTAGTTCGTGCATGCACGGAAATGGGACAAAAAAATCCAATACTCAGTATACACGATCAAGGAGCTGGGGGCAACGGTAAGAAATACTTCTACGTGGTTGTAATTACAAACAATAATGCGATAATATTTCACTGTTAATAAATGTTTTATCTACAATCAGGTAATGTTCTAAAGGAGCTTGTAGAACCCGCAGGCGCTGTTATCTTCACTAAGAAATTCGAGTTAGGTGATCCAAGTATCAGTACCTTAGAGTTGTGGGGTGCTGAGTATCAGGAGAACGATGCGATTCTATGTAAACCGGAGGACAGTGATTTGCTCAAGGAAATCGCAACACGGGAGAAATGTCCTATTAATTTTGTGGGAACCGTTACCGGAAACGGAAAGATCATTCTTTCCGAGGAGAACGATTGTGACGTGTCGAAGTACCTGAATGAGAACTATGTAAATGATACGAGGCATCCGGTGGATTTAGATTTAGAATTGGTACTTGGAAAAATGCCTCGTAAGGTACATACGCGTAAATAGTTCTAAACTTACAATAAATAAACATCTCGCAAGATTTAAATCGAATACATTTCAATGTTCTTTCAGACGTTCAATTTGCAAAGACAGAAGACTCACTTACCTTCTCTCGTTCTGCCAACGAATTTAACAGTACTGTCTGCTTTGGAAAGAGGGTTACGTTTGCCTTCAGTAGGGAGGAAACGATACTTAACCAACAAAGTTGACCGTTGCGTTACCGGATTGGTAGCACAGCAGCAATGTGTTGGTCCCCTGCATACGCCACTCGCCGATGTTGCTGTGACTGCAGTTTCTCATTTCTCAACGGTGAAAGACTGTAAAAGCGATAAGAAGAATCATTAGGAATGGCACTGTTAGCAACATATTTATTTACATATGTCATTCTGCGCAGGCTGGAATCGCTACGTCCATTGGAGAACAGCCAATAAAGGGTCTGGTGAACGCCGTAGCTGGGGCTCGTATGACTGTGGCAGAAGCTTTAAGCAACTTAGTATTTGCACGGATTTCAGACATACAGGTATCAATTGCATCGACAAGTTAATTATCAAACCTCTATATTCTTTATAACAGGAGAGCACAGTAATATAACAGGATACTCGTCTTCTGTGCTACAGCTTACACTTTTGTTTTTAGGACATCAAGTGCAGTGGTAACTGGATGTGGGCTGCTAAATTACCAGGAGAAGGTGCAGCATTATACGATGCATGTTCTGCGATGTGTTCATTCATGAATGAACTTGGCATTGCAATTGATGGAGGCAAAGATTCCCTTAGCATGGCTGCTAGAATCGGTAAGGAAGTCGTTAAAGCACCAGGAACGCTCGTAGTATCTTGTTACGCTCCGTGTCCCGACATCCGACAAGTAAGTCAAGGGTGTTCTCCAAAAGAATTTTATTTTGATGTTCACATTCAATTGTCGACATTTTATTGTAGGTAGTTACGCCAGATTTGAAAGCACCAGCAGCTGGGAAAGTTGGTTGCTTATTATTCGTTGATTTGTCAAATGGACGAAGCCGAATCGGCGGCACAGCTTTAGCACAGGTTTACAAATCTCTTGGCAATGATGTTCCGGATATGAAACAGGCCGATTTATTAAAAAATGCTTTTAAAGCTACACAGCAATTGATTGCAGGTGAATTATACACAGAAGAAAAATGTATTTCATTGGTCTAAACAATACACATAATGTTCAATGCTTTTCCTGTCGCAGAGGACAAAGTACTGGCGGGCCATGATGTCAGTGACGGTGGACTTATCACATGTCTTTTAGAAATGTGTTTCGGTGGTATTTCTGGAATGAATGTTAATATCTCTCACAAACCGGGAACGCCTGTTGAAGTTTTATTCGCTGAAGAAGTAGGCTGGATACTGGAAGTTGATGAAGATAATTATCATCATGCATTGGATATATTTAAACGATTCAATGTTCCTGTATATTCAATTGGCCGTTCAGGAGAATTCGGAATGTCTTCGAAAGTATATAGTCAGAGTTGTGCGTATGAAGTCATTAACAGAAGCATCAGTACATATTTTGATTTGATGGTTTCAGATAAATATTAAAGTACAAGATCAAACTGTTCTGGACACGACGGTGTTGCCCTTAATGTCTCTGTGGGAAGAAACTAGTTATCAATTAGAATGTCGTCAAACGAATGTCGAGTGTGCATTAGAAGAGTTCAGTGGATTGAAAGATAGAACTGCGCCAGCTTATAGGTTAACATTCAAACCAGATGTCAGATCATCTGAAATTCAGAGAACTATGTTTTGTATGTAATATTTCAATTTTGCGTATGCTTACGTTGCCATGAAATTTTATATTTTGTGTTATTTGTACAGCAAATATCACGGTTGCCGTGATAAGGGAAGAAGGTACAAATGGTGATAGAGAAATGGCAGCGTCATTGATGTTAGCTGGTTTCGAAGTTTGGGACGTGGCGATGCAAGATCTGTTAGAAAATAAAATCACATTTGATAGGTTCCAAGGTGTTATATTCCCTGGCGGTTTCAGTTACGCCGGTAAGTTATTCAATAAAATCTAATTGTTCGGTGTGAAAAGTATTTACTAGGTCTAAAATATTCAATATTCTTCGTCGTCCCATGTTATTTTTAGTACAACTGATTCATGTTAATGGGAAATTTCAGATGTCTTGGGCTCTGCCAAAGGATGGGCTGCGAGCCTCCTCTTCCATCCATCTTTACAGAAACAATTACAGGCATTTATTTCTCGCAAGGACACGTTCAGCTTAGGCGTCTGTAACGGATGCCAATTAATGTCTTTGCTAGGATGGATAGGGAACGAAACCGGTATGTTCTATTGAGTAACAAACGTGTCTAGTATAAAAAAAATTCATGCTTCTAAGATTCATGAATATAATTAACACGTTTAATTATATCCTCCTACTGCAACAGGCGACGCCACAAAACCAGACATTTTCTTAGATCATAATATATCTGAAAAATTCGAGTGCCGATGGAGTACCGTCAGAATTGATAAGTCCCCATCGATCATGCTGACTGGAATGGAGAACAGCGTTTTGGGTGTGTGGAGTGTGCATGGCGAGGGAAGATTTACATTCCGTAACAATGATATTTTGAAAAAACTGAAAGCAAATAACTGCTTAGCCATTAGATACACTGATGATTATGGCAATCCAACTGAACGATATCCTCTTAACCCCAATGGTAGTACAGGTAAGAGTTCATGTCATTCAAGCTATGAAAATCCAATCGATTCGAAGATTAAATCGATCGTAATTGAAATTATGATCGAAAATGTAATTGACCTTGAAATAGTTTAACGTCTACCCAGCAAATTATCTTCCGCACTGAAGTTCTACTTCAACGTCTTTAGTCTGAAACACAGTATACAAGAAAAATAGTAAATACTATTATAAGAAATGAAAGTAAGATTGAAATATTTTTGTACAATCTTAGATGGCATTGCTGGTGTCTGCTCTGCGGACGGACGGCATTTAGCGATGATGCCGCATCCTGAACGATGCACGAAAATGTGGCAGTGGCCTTGGAAACCTATAGATTGGAATAAGTACGAGCTTTCGCCGTGGCAACGTATTTTTGATAACGCATACATTTGGTGCACGTCCAAACGCTAACGCAACACATTCCATACTATTGTATCGGACATAGTGTACATAATAAGAGTATATATTTTCTAAATAAATCATTCTCAACGAACTCTTGTAGAAGGCTTGTAGATTATAAAATTCTTTATTTTCTACTTTCTTAACAAAGTATGGTAACATTGTGTTGTCAAATATTATAAAAAAATGGTAAATTACAGTTAGAAATTCGTTAATTGTTTAATTCGTATCACTTGAACGAATTTTCTCTAACTTTGAACAGTTGATTCGACGGCGTGAATTGGGAAAATTGATTCGTGTCGAAAACATCTTCTAAGTGCAAGTCGCACCGTAGTATCACAACGCCGGATGGATTCACTTTGACTTTTATTTTCGTTTGTGGGGTCAACACGCCGTAGTTCACATCTTCGTATAAGTCCTGGAAGTACGATTCATTGAAATGGACCGCTTATGTATTTCAATTTAAGAAAAATTTTTAAAATAACATCATTCTTATATGTACACATACCTCCACGCTGTATCCTCCGGGATACTGGAGTCCAAGTTCCTTTAATGTAACGGACACATCGGACGGTGTGCCGTCCGTTCTCCTATTCGCGAACGCTATGGCGTAAGAGTAGTAATTCTGATAGACCGGAGTTATCGGCCTCGCCCAGATTTCAATGCCTTTATGCTAAAGACAGAAGAGAATTCTTACTAACGTATTCCAAGCCTACACTGTTTTCTTACTTTTGCTAAATTTTCATGCTCGTATTTTACATTAGAAAAAAAAGTCTCTGACTACGAATACACGTTTAATTTACTAACTTTGTAGATACGTCGACCCTGTATGCCCAGTGGATCCTGATCCACAGCAATAATTTTTCTATTCTGTAAAATGGCTTTATATTCGTGTCTGATCGTTCGTAGATCAACGGACATTAACAGAGGCGCGGCCAGGATAGCCCACAACGCCATTTGCGTTTTGCTCTGCTCGTAACTCAACCCGAAGTTACCGATAATTAACATATCGGGATCGTTCCAGTGGCCGGGTCCAGCATTCTGCACGATCCCATCTTGGTTGTTACCATAATAATCTATGATAGTTTCTAAGCTGTTCCAGGAATCTTGAATATCATCAAAATTCCTCCAAAGATTACAGTGTTGGGTTATGGCAGTATAGTTTGGCTGAAATATTATATACCCTCAAACACTGATCTGTACAATATTCTATAGCCGGTATTATAATTTAACACCAACCTGCATTCCAGAATAAATCTGATAAACTGGCCAACTGCAAGAATATATCATAGGTCGACCAGTTTGATTTAAATAGTAACCAAATTCGGGGTACCCTAGAATATTTCATAATGCCGTAAATATAGATAGAATTTGTCTAAGAGAAATATATATAATTATTATTTTTTGTAGGCTGTACCTCTGTCCATTTCAGACGGATGAGAATAACAGCCATCTAATTTTACATAATCGACATCCCAAGATGCAAATGTAAGCGCATCTGTTTCCAAGTATCCCAATATACCAGGGTAACCAGCACATGTGTAGTTACCAAAATCTTCATAAATTCCAAACTTCAGACCTTTTGAATGAATCTACGCAGGGGAAGTGAAAAGTAGTCAGACTAGGATCTTACTATCTGATACTGAAGCAATGGATAGAAACATACATAATTTGAAAGACTTTTCATCCCATATGGAAATCTTTGTCTGTCTGGTACCAGCTGACCATGAGCATCTCTATCTTTTTCTAACCAACAGTCATCAACATTAACATACTCATATCCAACTGCAGCATAGCCCTCTGCTACAAGAATGTCTGCCATTGTGCGAAAGAGCCGATCACTATACGTGTAAAAATGAAGTTTTAAGCAATTTTTAAAAGTTTTCAGTCTGACAATAGCAATACACTGTTCAATAGTCTGTTTGCTTTAGATTTTTGTGAATAATATGAAATATTATATAATTTTAATATTTATTAATTAATTATTAATATGTACTAATTACAAATAACTGATCTTTGCAAGAGATTCAAGTTTTCATAATAATACAACATTGGAGGACAAATTTACATAGCAACTATGTCATAGCTCTAAATAATGTTATTAAGAATCATTGTGAGATCACATATCCCTGATTCATATCTGCATGTGCTAATTCTGTTCTAATTCATACCTTATGAAACAAGAATTTACAATAGAATATTTAAATTTTTAAACTATTTCAAAAGTTTAAATATTCGTCAAGACATATACATAAACATAGAATTGTCTTTTATTTCACTTTTAAATCTTTAATAATTAATTTTATGAACAATTAAACACATTTGTTAAATATATCCAACCACTTTGAATACTTTATACATTAAACAGTTACTACAAAGATTAAATATTTAAATGAACATTTAGTTTCATAATTTCATACTATGTTTTAACATATTTATGGTTTTCTTTTCTATCACTTCACCTCGCAAAGAAGAAGATTCTATAGAAGTTTGATATTTCTTATACACATTCATTTATATAGGTCGTATTCAAAATGAAATCAGATTTTGCATTTTTTGATAGCCATCTAGCAAGTGGAGTTGGTTAATAATGTTCTTAGATTCAGAGATATAGATAACAAAGATGCTAATGAAGTTTCACTTTATTATAAAGAATCACATACTACGAAATACTATGCAGAAATTACAACACAATAGTAACATAACATTCAATGAATGATTCTAAAATAAAACAAAATCAGATCGACATTATAGAGAACTCAAAAAGAAAAAAAATTAAATTATCTTAAGATCAGTACTCTCACCTGATACAATTGTCAGGATCATTTTTGCAATCTGTGTTACACCTAAATCGTTCCCAGGCAAGCCAGCCCATCGGTGGTGTTTTCGCCAGACCATTTTCAAGGGCCAATGTCAAATCTGGCACTGACACAAGCAAACACCATATCCATACCATCTGCAACATTCTGCAAAAATGCACAATTCTTTTTACAAATCCTTTCACACTGCACACAGACACTGAACCGACTGTTGTTGTTTTATGACTCCGGTGTCATAATTTTTGTTGAACAATAAATTTTAACAAAATTGCATGACTCTATCAGAGTCGGTAGGAGATTTTGTCATTAGGAGCAGAGCAAAATTCCCATCCACATCCTGCACGGCTCTCAGCGGACTGATCTGATATAAGACCTCCAAGCCAAGAGTACTTTCACCCAATGCCCCATTTCATTTTTACACACAATCACTGTCGTTGGTGGTGTGAGCATTGATTTCCTTTCGTACGAGGAACGGGGCCCCGCACACTAACGTGCTGATCGCCGTTGCAACTATTACGGTACAATTACGCCTACGAAAGACAATCGTGAGCAGATTTTTATCCGCAAATATCGCCTTTGTCTTCGACTACCGAGAATCATCGTGCTCTATGTAATTGGGTGACCGTGATACGTACTTGGCAAATTCCGTCAACTCAGACGATTTATCCTGCTTTTATCCTGAACTTGGCTCGAACATGCCACGTATTATGTTTTAACCAAGAAACACGTAGATAGGTATTTGAAGTTTCTGTCATGAATGGTTTCGCGGAGAGATGAGACGAGTTACTCGCGTAATGCTTTACGATCAAACGAATGGATTATCGTTAATCTTCCTATTAAGATCGTTCGGATAATTGGAAGTGTTTACAAACAAACCGTGTAGAACGCGATAAACTTGACATTTCTGTGACAGAAATAATTAGCCACGCTACCTGGACTATAAGCGGATCAGTGGTACATAATGGATATTCTAAATAAGAGCCACTATATCTGTCTGGAGTAAAGTTTGTTTTGAAAGCTTCTGAAGATAGTCATAAAGAGGATGAAAAGTTTCTACAAATGGATTATTTAATTTTTATTATTTTAAAGAGTAATGAACCGAGTAATAGTTGGATACAGACTAGGTATGGGCTAAAGCTGCTTAAAATGCACAATAACAAATAATTAATAATTATTTCACCGAGCTATGCTCGAGGGTAACGTCTTTCCTTCTAATTACTATATTAAACATATACCTTGAAAGAATCAATGAAATATAAGAAATTGAAACCATTCTGAACAGTATTCTTGATTCTCGATCAGCACCGGTTTTACGATAGCATTACTTTCCATACTTTCATTCCGATTACCTAATCAAAAGAAAAAATCAATCGCACGAGGAATAGATTCCGGTATTCCTTTATCGATCGACGATACCATTTCGAGAAACATGACTAAAAATTGCTTTTCTCGACATGTCCCTTTATTTTCCATTTCTATATTTTATAAGCACGAATAATTGCATATAAGTTTTCAAATTTGACTTTCTTAGAAACAAAATTTTTTATTTATTTTGTCACGATGACAAAACCACTGGCTTATCGTTACTTTAAGTTTTGTTCACCTACCGATTGCAAAATCAAAATAATACAGCATATTCTTGTACAAAAACGAATAATACATTCTGAATAGGTATGAAACGCTGAATTGGATTTGATTTTCGACTTCGTAATTTCGTGAGTTGCAATTTCTAGCATTAAATAATTTTTTACCCACAGTTTAGAGTACTTGTTACAGCATCAAGCTCGATCATTAGTCAAGAGAAATTGTAGTCTATGTAGAAAGTAGAAAAGTATCTCGACCTTTGTTGAAATTGTTGAAGAATGCATACTCTCGAATTACTTGGAATCCAACGGAACGCTCTTCACGTTTTTTTTTTACTTTCAAAGTCGCCTAATATCGTTGATCAAGATTATTAATAAATTTTATATAGTAGAATTCCTACAATTTGATACTTTTTATCAAATAACGTTTGAATGTATGAAAACGTTCGTTCATAACAAAATTTACTTATTCTTATGATCGAACGAAATGCGTGGATGACGGAAATAATTTCTGATGAAATTCAAATCATAAAAAGTTTTTAACTATCTCTCAAACTATTAATATTTTTAAATGATTTAAACTGACACATTCAACAAAAATTACCGTTCCTAAAGTCACGCACGGTTATATGTACTTACATCTTTAAAAAAGGTAGGCGGATCGTTTAACGGACAACGAGGCAACTTCTGCAAGAAGAGACTGCGCAACAATTTCAGTTACGCCCTCTGCTTATATGCACCCGTTAAAATCCGCGCGTTTAGATGTTTTCGTTTTGTACATACTAGATAAGACTTATCGGTCACATTTGCACATTCGATTGTTATGATTTCTTGTTACTATTGCACGAATCTTCTCCAGACATCTATAAAATTATGAGTACCATTGATAGGTTTCACTTCATACGATTTATCATATCTTTATTCTCCATAACCATCGTTTAAATTGGCGGTTTATTATCGTACAAGTAAGTACATACAAAAAGTGCACACGTAGGTCTTGTAATAAATATATGAAATACATATGTAGTACCAAACATGGTAAATAATATTGTTATAGGTTATGGAAAGTCGTACACAGATATTTGCCAGTATTAAATGTATATTTTAACAATCGTGTGCATTCCAAATTTGTATTTTAAAAAAAACGTAATGCGTGAACACTTGAAGACCATGAACGAACGGTAAGCAAGTAAATGTATTAACAAAAAACTTGGCTGTCAGTCACATGTGCTTTTGGTAAAAACAAGGAAAAGCTCGCTTCAGTAAATAATGACGCAATGTTTTCGTGAGGGCGCGCATAATGCGTAAGTAGTGAAAAGGCGCTTACTTCGTCAAATACATACATTATGTGGAGGTTGATAATAATCGAGATGGAGGAACGTGGTAGAAATGTTGCTAATAAAATAGCAGTCTATAAAATTAGTTTTGAAGGAGTTGGTATGTGGGAATACTTTTTTTTATTGACTATAGATCGATGACGCAGAGTACCGTTCTTTCAATTTTTAATGAGCACATAACCTTTTAAAAACGTGTTTTTTGCTATTTACTATCTTTATGTACAGTGTTTGCATATTTCCCTTTTACACTGCAGGCATAAATATTTTGGGGTATCAGATTAATAGTCCAAGACGAGATGTTTATCAGGTTTCTTTACAATCCATTTGCAAATTTACGAATAATTGTGCTTCTTGACAAATGTATTTTTTTGACAGCAAGTAAGTAGACAGTAAATATACACTTTGATTGTTTGAAATATTTTGAGCAAACGAAGAGTGAATGATCTCTTTGGTATCGCACAATGTCGCGTAGATAAAGAACTTTTCTAACGTCTATCTGTTCTGTTGTTTTCTCTTATAATACACAAACGATGACATTGATATTGAATTTTTTATTTTTTTGTTTCGATTAAAAAAATACATAATTCCAGACGATTTCAAATTACAGATCGTATATAAGTATATAAATGTGTACATATGTAGGTTATTTTTTAAAATTGATTACCAGCTTGAAGTAATTTTCCTTAATTAATTCGTTTACTGTTATGTAGATTATTTTTTCGGAGAGTAAAAATTCGATAAATTTTGAAGTCCGTTTTTCAATCAGATAAATTATACTGATAATTATTTATCTGATTATTTGATATCCTCTTTTATCAAATTATGTATATTGTTACCGTATTTTTGTAAAATTAGAATCATTTCAGAAAAATTGAATTATATGGCAGTAGTTATAAATAACATATTCGTCTACATTGAACAATTTTCGAATAAACTTTTGTGGTTACACATCGAGATATCTATACATATGTAGAAGTGTTAATCGCATCTACTCTCGGTGGTTGAAGAAGAAAATTTTCCCATAAACATAATTGATACAGTTTATTAATTAAAATTTTACAGTTATTTTTCTAATATTAATGTTTGGAATAATTGTAAACCAAAAGAAGACAGTACAAGCAATGTAATGTAACACCAAAACCTTTTGGAAATTCATATTTAAAGGAAAATTTCCTTTCTTACTTAATAAGTAACAAGTAACTATTAATAGGGTTCTGGGTGAACAGGTGATAATATTTACAAAATAGTCGAGAGTTTATTCTGTTACAAACAGGGATTTAAACCGGTATGATTTTGATACCAGTATTTTTTCGATTTCTATAAGGGTAGGGCTTATATAGGGCGAACGTACGAACGACAATACCGGTATAATACCTACGGTAAATTCTAATGCCCATCATATTGGTTCTCCCTCGTCCAGTTTTGCATGTGACATATACATATGTATACGCTAGGGATGGTTGAAGGTGGCGCCACGGCGTGTCGCACCACCGAGCCATTCGTCGTTCTCCATCTCACTCTGGTTACACCTTTCTCCGTTAACCTCCTCCTCGTTCTAGTTCGTTCGGGCGCTGCGAACCCCCAACAATCCCGCAGCCACCGTCAACCCGCGGGGCTGCCGGAGGGACAGTCGGTTTTACTCAACGAAGAGAACGTTTGCACCACCCGGTATCCGGGAAGAAAAAAACAAAATTATCCGGTGTCCCGTGTGCCAATATACAACGACGTTTTTATCACGGTCATCCGCCAGGTATCCCCTCCCCTCACCCCCGCGAGCTGTCATGTGAGTAAACCCGTCGCGCGTTTCCGTACGTGTTATGGCGTGGAAGTGGTGGTCAACCATTGCAGTGCCGTCGTTTTCGTCCCACGACAGAAGGATATATCGGCCGATCGACGCCCAGCTGTGTTCAGCCTCTCCGCCGTGGAAACATGAAGATACCACCCCTGTCATGACCCAGGTAAGTGGACGTCATGATTCTTGGATCCGTTCACCGCGAAACCCCTCGTCACCAAGATTTCTCATTGAGGTGTTGCGCCTCGTTTCGTCATACTGACAGCTTTCTCTCGCCGTTTAATGCATTATACGAAAGGATTTTACGTTCCTTGATTCGCGAACAGACACTTCGAGGGGACGTTGTTTGACTCGGTTTTATTTAACAGGTGTGACAGTAGTGTTTCGTCGTATGACTGGGCTTAATATCTGTAGATGTATTTTATCGTATTTAGGGTAGGTAGTTTTTGTCAAGTTTCTTAGGCGTTCAAGTCATCAGACACGTTAAACCGTGGTAGGGTGCATCTGCAATCTATTGGTGCATAAGCACCCACGAAATCCTTCGTGAGATCAATGACACACGGGACATGGTGTACTTCCGCAGGAAAGAATTTGTTGAACTTCAACCACGGTTTGGATTCTCTTTTACGTGTGATTTGCCAAGAGATTGAGGGATCATTTGAATGGTGAATTTTGGTGCCATTAACGTGCAAGGAGCTCGGGACGGTTCGCATGAATGGGTAATGGCGGCAGCCCGAGACAATAATTTTAGATAGTGACACGGATATAGCGCTGCGATCGTTCCATTGATCTGCGTAACCGTCCAAGCTCTATATTTCCCGTAAGTTTTTTTTTTCTAAGTTTGCTCGCCAATTTTCACGTTCCACCGATCTATGAAATGTGAATTAGCGAAAATTACTCTCGGATCGATCGGAACAACGAGAATCTCAATGCGGGCTTGTCGAATTTGTATTTCGAGAAAGCGTGTACACACATTTCCCTAACGATGGCTATCGCGTTTCGAGGTGGTAATAATAGTTTCAGACAACGGTAATTACCGCCGAATGCGTGCGTATGAGGTTGGCCACGTTTACTCGGAACCATGAGCTGCCGCCGCCACCTTGAATTACTTTTTATTACAGTAGCTCGCGGGCGCGCTGTATACATGACAAGTGTGACGCACGCTTTTACCGTGGATACGTAATGTCTG